TGGTCAGCAACCCGCCAGGCTCACCTCCATGACGGTCATTTGGCTGGCATCCAGCAGCGACAGCAGCGCCCGTTTGGCCTTGGTGCAATATGGGCAGTACGTCTTGCTGAACACCATCACCTTGTTGGCTTCCAAGGCGCTCGATATCACTTCCTTCGCGGACGGCGCCATTGTGCTCGTTGGCCTGCTTGCTTGCTTGCTGGCGTTGCTTCACTTGAGTGGTGGCAGGGAACCGAGGAGTTCAGTTGATGCAAATCCGACCATTCAGAGACTTTGGCATGACCTTCTCGTACCTTCTTTCAGAAGTGAGTGAACATCCTTACAGAAAACGTGAGAAAAAAATTCAGACGTTGGATCAAGAATGGTGCGGAATTTGCAATTGGAACTCGCCATTCATGCGAGACGATGTCGCGAGTGGTGGAATGTGGGGATCGACATGAAAGGTCTCGCGCAACAGGATGCAAACGCGCGTCATGCAGTGTCTGTAACTCTTCACTTGTGCATATCTGTTTGTGCAGGACTGGGTGGTATCCTTCATCCATTTTGTTGAAGGGCATAGGTGTTAGAAGAAATTCTGATAAAGGAAGAAAAGCATGGAACTAGTATTGAGCAGTGGCCTGAGCACCCCCAACTGACTCAGTTGATCTTGGGCAGTCTATGCTGGGCGCATCTTGAGGAGTGAATTGTACATCGTTTCTGCAACAGACCCACACGCCCGAAGATTGGCCGAAGCTGTCAACATAAATAGTTAAATTCGTTCGCCTGGCTGACAATAGTGTTGTAAGGCCTCTGCCAAGAATTTCCCTGTTTCCATCCTTTTCCCCTGGCACTGTAGAATTAGGACATGCCATATACCCGCGTAGGATGCAGATTCTGGCGGATTATGCCAGCTCTGGGATGCTTTAAGCATCCTAAAGAGCGCACACAATTAGCATTTTTGTAACAAGCAAGAGTTGACAAGCATCTAGTTTCCGAATCTGCCAAATTTTCTTGCAAAGTTTGGCACATGATAGACAAAGGCATTCTCCTATGCATGGTTCAGGCACAGTGGTTGTTAGTGATCAACCACCCATTCAAGTTCCAGCGCTTGGCAACTCCAGCATGCATATGGGCCTGAGTTTGGCGTCGGCATTCAAAGGCGTCTTGCTGAGCTTCACCTCTTGAAGTATCTGTGAATAGCAGTTTATCATTTTAACATCATGGCACCTTTTTGCACACAATGGATTACCCAGATGCGGGTGATTCTGACATAAAACCTGCGCCCAATGGGTCACTGAGAGTGTGAGAGATCTGGGGTATCCACACCCAGCTTCTGATACATTGTGGGAAATATTTCACTTCGATAACTCAAGTCCAAAGTTTCTAGACTCCAAAACCCCTTGCGCTCAAGATTGTGATTCGCCCAGGGCAAGTAGCCCCCTCTCCCTGAGGCTCGGCAGAAGAGTTGCAGCACTATTTGAACTCGCCATGCTGCTGACAGTCTATTTCACTGACACAGGGAAATCTGCAACATACTTTGCTTTGTCCCTTAAAATGGATGAGCAACACATCATGCAAAGGGCACCCATTCTCCTGAACGAGAACCATCATGTGAGAACCTTCATGGCATTGCTGAAGCAATGCCGAAGTCTTCCAGGGCAACGTAAACAGCACACAATAAAGATTGCCCTGAACAACCGAATTGCTAAATACATTGCAAACAGATCGAAAGTGTAATCAGTTGGCAGGGCGTTCGCAAGCAATTTTAAACATGCCAGACACAGAACCCACTGATGTGTATACATTTATGTGCAACTTTGCCACTGTACTATATCTGCCCTCACTATGAATGCAAAGTCGCCAATATCCTGCACAACTGCTGCAAACCATCGTCTGCTCTAAGGACTTGAGACAATCACCACTAGAGGCACTGGATGCTCGACGGTTGCAGAACCCCAGTTCGTTGACAACCACCTGTTGAAACAGGCAGCCTGATCTGTCCGTCGAAAAATCCCAAACATTGAGATTGGAAAGCATGACTGAACCACACAGCTGCGGGCTTGGAAAACTGGCAAGCACATATCTCACCATAAATTCCCCTGGTCAGTTCCAAGGATGGTGAAGCACAGCAGAAACTCATTGAAATGGGGAGAGGTGAGGGGTACGAATGATGCTAAAAGTTGATGTAGGCATTGGCTTCATCCAGAGTGAATTGGAATATGCCTTCCTCATTCCGTTCTTCCCCAAGGCGGTAACCAGACTGTCCCTCCAATCGGCCAACAGCAGCAACTGGCATTGGCCAGCGCAGGTGTCCACGGAACTGCGGAACAATGCCCATGATGTCAGCACACATGAAAAGAAATGGCAAATGATGTGCGGAAGGGCACAACACTGTGGGAAACACAGACCTGCAGCCGTTGGGAAATCACTACAACAACAACTCTCGCTGTAAGGCCAAGGAGATTGGCTACATTCCCTTGACCAGATTTGCCCTCAAAAGGCAAGTGCAGCCCTTGCATCTGGTGCAGTCCAATCCAAGATTGGCAACCCAAAAGAAGCTGGGCAGCACCCTGAACTTTCCAGACTGTGTCGTGTGGATAGCTGGTCCATTTGACCTTGGCCGGCAAGTGTACATGACATGCTGAGTGCTCCTGGCTTCACAACTGACACGTTTCAGGGTGTTGGCTGCCTGGCCACTGCAATAGACGACATATTGGAAGGTCGCAACACGAAATTGAGTGAAACTTCCCTCCAACGCTGGAGAGTGCTGAGTTCCAGTGGAATGCAACAGTTGCTGCTTGACCTTGCAAATTACAGGGCCACATCCACTTATCAGGTCTTTGTTCAACATCCCACACGTTTCAGGAGGTGTCAAGGACACAATTTTCCTTGTCTGCCTTGTTATCATGCTTATTCCTCCCACAACTCACACCCATTTGTTTCTTATATTTTCCTTGTTGGCCCCATCCAGGGTAATCAGATTCAGGCCGCAAAAGGATTGGAGTTGCAGTGCACACTGGGGCTGAGCCTCCAGGTAGCTGGGCAAAACTACAAGAAAGTCCTTACCCACCTCCAAGGCGAGTTTTTCTCCAAGGGCAACTTTCCGTCTCATCTTCAACGTGTCACCGCCATCTGTTTTGCACATCCCGCCCAAACGATATTGGAGATGCCATTTTGGCTTCAGGGCGCCCCAGTAGCACACCTCTGCCTGCAAATCGACAGTGCCTGCCAGAGGGGCATTGATGGTCTTCCTGCACACCCAACACAAAGTTCCCAGTTAAGGGATGATTTTCAGTATTGCGAACAGTTGGTGACCAGCCGAGAGGTTGGAGATGGAGCCTTTCCCGATGTCGATTCTTTATGTGGTCAGATTAACAACAGCAATGATGTGCTTTACTGCTTGAAATGAAAAGAAATCGATGCACATGTTGTTCCTCTGTTCAAGAAATCTCCCTTTGTTATTTTCCTCCGCGGGTGGCTTTCTTCCACTCTACTCACAAAAGTATGATCGTCTTTTGTTGTGTGTCTATGGCCACTGATCTCATTTGTCGCATCAAGCACTGCCTTTGCATCTTGAAGGTGGCAATGAGCACAAGTCCATGGGCAGAATTTTCTGAATGCAATCTCTAGAAGCACCATCTTGAGCTTGGAAGCATCTTAAGAGCATCTTTATCAGTGGGTGCTATTGTCCCGGCGGAGCTATGCAGCTATCCGAATAGCATCGCATGTCAAAAGCCATCACTAACAGTTGGGGAGCAATAGCACCCCAATAGCACCCCCGGAGCTATTCGGCGCTGAGCGGCGCTATTTGGGCCGCGAATAGCACCGCTCGGGGTCGCATAGCACCCCAGAATAGCGCAGGTGCTATTCGGCAAATGCCACCTTAGTAAGGTGGCACGGCAGCCAATGAGAACCGTTCCTGGATAGCTCCGCCAGTGCAATAGCACTGACCGATAAAGATGCTCTAACTGAAACAATTCTGGGTTCCGATGTCACTTGAGATGGCATCAAGAGTATTTTCTACAGCAAGTGGAGTGCAATATGCCATGAACCCGAAACTGCACTATACAATGCAGCACATACAATGACCTGGTTGGTCTGGCAACAACACAACACATGACCAAAGCGGATATGCTTTGGTACACACCACATGCAGAGCTAACACATAGCATGCAAGGTTCGGGTAGCATTGGAAGGCACGATGCCTGTTTGTACACGTGCCAGCATCGGCTTTTACTCCAGAGCCAACAACAGCAGCAAATACCAAGGAACAGGATGGTTGTCAAGAAGTATTTCTATCGTTGCCTTGCACTTTACAAAAGCCTGCAAATGGCCTGCAACACTTCTGATGGGCCAAGGGTGGGCATTTTGACTCCAGAATGTGATGTAAGGCTGAGAGTCAGAAAAGGAAACATGCAAATGAGAAAGCACAGTTTCACCTGTCTTCACTCTGCCAATGGCTGCCCACCTGTATCCAACAGTTTTCTTTGCTGGCTCCACAAAGAAACGGCCCTTCAGGATGGTGTCCTATCAGCACAGACCCATACTCAAGTGACTGGAGGACAGAGTGCAGGGTCACTCAGAAGTTCAGTCCACAGCAACAAGCTGTTTTGCATGTCTATGGACAATGCACACACAGCACACTCTGGACGCAGACTGCTTCTGTTGAGAAGCATGGCAGTTGGCGGACAGCACATAGGAGTGCTTGCGGCAGGGCAGGCGGGTAGACATGATGGAAGTTCCTTGAAGACTGTAAGGGCACATGATGTTGAGAGGAGTTGAAAGTCAACTGCACTGGCGGATTGGCAGATGGGCTCCATTCAATTTTAATGCACGGAAATTTGGTAAATGTGTCAGATGATCGGCTGCAACTGTGCTGCTTGGGCTGTTCATCGCTCCCTACCTCCAGATATTGGAACTGACAATTCCCCATCGATTGGCAACAGCAAATCATCGAGAAGGCAAGCGGCAGATGGAGATTCTCCAGGGGCATGTTACGATCCTCTCTTTGTTCATGCAAGTATTTTGAAGCCCCAGCGTCTACAGTTGTACAGATGTTTGGAAATGAGCAGCACCATGTTGGTAGTGTGTAATCACCAGTGTTGCAAAGGTATTGTTCCACAAAGTAAGACTGCTTTATTCTCGGTAACTCCAATTAATATTTCCCAAGTTCTTTGCTGTGACGCTGCACACGTACCACCAAGTCTGCTGTATTGTTGATTGCAGGATCACGTGCGATTGTATCTCCTGTCCGCAAACTTGGAGCTTCTTTAGGTGTCAAACGCGATTCTACTCAGAGACGAACAAGGACGCTCACATGAGATGATTCGACAGGGATTAAGCACGGTTTCGCACCCCGACCCAACGGCCCCGCGTGCCGGTACGAGGGCGCACGTCACATGCTGCAGGTTGGTCTGTCCGCAGTTTGCTCGCTCAGAGACCGCACCTGCCGTGTCGAATCGATTCAAAGATTTATGCTGCTGAGATCCGCGAGGCCCCGCCCCGCGACGGGGCCTCGCGGACGTCACAGCATGATGAAACACTCAGACGACGCGAGCGCAGCGATAAGCCAGCAACAACAAATTGGGCTAGCCAACTGATACTATGCGTCTTGCGGCGGTAGGAAGGTGTTGAGGGAGTTGGGAACGGGGGACAAACCTTCACGCTAAACTTGGGCTCGAAACCTGGCTGGCGGACGTCCACGTCGCCCCCCACGGTCGCCACGACCGGCCAGAGGTCAAATTCTTTTCTGAGCTTCACTTTGTTGGGAAACGTCGCATCATTGGTGAAGCTGAACAGGGGAGGTTCCCCGTCCTCCCCGCCTGCCGACGCCATGCCGCCGCAACCCGACCCCCTCCCAGAAATCCCCAACCACGCCGTTCGCCTGCCCACAGGCGCACTGCAGATTCCAAAGCAGAAACGTCGAAAAAAATCACCGACATGTTTTTTATGCAGGTGGGTGCGCAGTGCAGCCGTACACATGAAAGGCCCCGGCCAGACCCCGGAGAGGCAGACCCTGCCCATTGCACAGGGACGGCGGCCGGAGCGCGGACGACGGGCGCCACACAGGGAAGCGGGCTCGCGGCTCAGCTCCCCCCGGGATCCTCCCCATCATGTCGAGCGAGGGGCCGCCAGAAGCGGTCTCAGATTGGTCCCGCCTGCCCTCCGGCGTGCTGGAGCTCCTGGTGGCGGGCCTGCGCGCGGGGGACCGGGGCGCCGCCCGCGCTGCGTGCACCACCTGGCGGCGCGGCGTGGACGGCTGCACGACATCCTTGCGGTGCAGTCCCGCCTGCCGCGTGTGCGCTGATCGGCTGGTGCGCCTCTTCCCGCACCTCACGGCGCTGGATGTCGGCCTGGGCTGCCAGTGGGTGCAGCAGGGGTCGCTGTTCGAGGACGTGGGCGGCGGGCTGGCCGCCCTGGGGGGGCTGGACGAGCTCCGGCGCCTGAGCCTGTCCGGGTGGTCCGACCTGGGCGACGGGGACGCGCCGGCGCTTGCAGGGATGTCGTGCCTGACGTCGCTGGACCTGACGTTCTGCACGGGGATCACGGGCGGCGCGCTGTACAGCCTGCTGGCCCTGGGGAGCCTGACCAGGTGGGTGCGGCGCGCTTGGAGGGCTTGCCGAAGGGGGAATGTGTGTGTCTTGCGACGGGCGATCCCTGAGTATTGTTCTTTTCCAATGTGCGATGGGGTGGTCGAAGAGCCCATCAGGCTATCTGGTGGGCGATAGGTTGGCTTGCACTGCCGGTTTCTGCTGGTTTGTCGTTGGGATTCCAGAATTGGCTCCTTGGAGACTCCAGGATTTCCCTCGGCGCATATCTGTCCTTTCATCGACCGGGGCAGCTCCCAAGACCTGCCAGCACACTTATGATTTGGAGTGCGCTTCACATTGGCGCATGATTACTTGCCTTCCCCTGCTGTCATCTGGTTACCATCAGCTGTTAAATGTTGGAGCAGGCAGTTTGTTCTTCATTGTGGTCGCACACAGCAGACAACCAGGTCTATGCACTTAGTGAGGCAGGAAAGGATTCTATCACATTGTTGTGGTTGTCAAGTCCGTCTGTGGAGGGGATTTGATAGAGTGGATCTTATTTTGATACTAAAGCCACAATATTGTGTTCGCTGACGGTGCCCCACTGCCATTTTGCTCTCCACACAGTCTGAACCTCACCGGATGCTCCAGCATACAAGACGATGGCTTCCATGTGCTGGGCTTCCTCACGGGCCTCAAGTGCTTGAACTTGTCAGGCTGCCAGGTCACAGAGGACGGGGTTCGCTTTCTTGGCAACCTAACCAACCTAGCCTCTCTGCACCTGTTGGAGTGCACTAAGCTAACAGACAACGCGCTGGCCTGCGTCCTACCCCTGCTGGTGAACTCGCTGACAGAACTCGACCTCTCTGAGTGCTCCTCTCTGACCAACAAGGTGGGGCCCACCCTGCGGGCCTGCACACAGCTCAGGGTGCTCAACCTGCAGGGCTGTGACAGAATTCGCGGGATGGACTTCATGGCATCTGAGCTCACAAAGCTGCCCAGTCTGGAGAAGTTGATTGTGATGGAGGGCGGCCAGGATGGCGGCGGCCACTGCGACCTGCTGCTGGGATCGTCAGACGAAGAATTTGCAGAGCTAGGCGAGGCCAGGGATAGGGGCAGCAATGCAGAGTGCTCCAGCGAATCAAACAGCAGTGGCTTTTGTGGAGAGCCCCCTGTCAAGAGGAGGAGATGGGCAAGGACACAAGGCCCTCAACCCAAGTTTTCTTGACATATAATGCTGCCTGCACAGATATCTACTTCTGACAGGGCACTGTACAGGTGCCTGGTGTGCAGAGCATGTGTTTGTATTTGTATTCTTATTGGATGGGATGCTTGTATACATGAGGAATCCCATGATGTATGAGAACACAAAGCGTAAAGTGGAATTTGGGCAGAGCCTAAGGCAGAGAATCATCGCATGCTGATGCAACACCTGATATTGACAAATCCATTTTGGAGTGCGCTTATTGTTGCCAGTTCTGCGATTACCTTTCTAGCTCAGCTCACAACAGCACCTTGAACCCAAATGTTGTGCTATCCACGAACTTCCATTGCTTAAAAATGGCGGTGCACTTCCAACACCTTTGCACTGATCATTCTCTCCCACCAATCCCAGCGCCCCCATGTGCCACAGGGCAGCATTCCTACCCAGGCCCTCTCGTTTCCTCCCAGTGCAACGCCTCGATAATCTCCAGCACCGCCTCCTGAGCCAGAGCTTGTGACAAAGGTACTGCTTCTTCAGGGAGTGGCTGTTGTGGACCTACTACGGCTGCAATTGAACCAGAACGAGCACTCGCACCAGTTCATCCAAGTCTGGCGCATCATGCTGCCACGTCTTTTGCATCACGCCGCCAACATAATTTGTCGCCTTCAAGCCTGTCTTTCCCCACTCTGAAGAAATGTCGCTGTGGAGACTAGTTCCAAGATCGCACCCTGCCCTCCCACCGTGCCACGGCGCTGTGCGTGGCTGACATATCTCAGCAAGGATCCCATCGACGCCATTCGAATGCGATAACCAACACATCTCCCCGCCCCCTGGTCGATTATTGTTGTCCCCCTTGCTGATTTTTATGAGAGATGTGTGGTCTCGGGCCATTACACATTGGTTGCCTCCGGCGGCTGAGGAAAAGTGGGACAAACACTCTGGACACCCCACGGATGGGGCATGCCTTGTGAAGCCGAAGCCTTTGCATGGAGCGGATCCCAATTTATGGAAAGCTCTCTTTCGCCTTGCTGATTTTCTCTAGGAATAGGAGCTGCGGCAAGCATAGCACCCCCCGCTGAACCCCCGGCACAAAATTACTGGCTGCACCAAATCGGTGACTTTCTGCACTAAATCGGTGACTGCTTGCACCAACTCCCTCCAAAACCTACCTAACCTAAAACCTAAACCTTAAGCCTTAAAACTAAACCTGCCCTAAACCTAACCCTCGCCCTAAAACTCACCCTAAAACTAAACCTAACTCTAAAACTGAGGTTAGGACATAGTGTGCACGTGATTTGGTGGTGCAAGCGGTCACCGATTTGGTGCAGGCAGTAATATTATTTCCTGAACCCCCACCACCCCCCCATCCGCACCCAACCCGCCGCTTCCTCCTCGCTGTCCTCGCGGGCGGGCGTGCGCCCCGGGCGCCAGGCTCCGCCCCCCCCAGTGCCGGCGCAGCGCCCGTCTGACTCGAGATGAAGGCCCTGCGCGGCGCCGTCTCTGACCTGCAGGGCGCCCTGGTGCGGCATCATGCCGATGGGGACCCGCCCGTCGCATCGCTGGTCCTGGACGACACCACCGTGGCGTTCGACCTGCTGAAGCCCGACGGGCCCGTGCACGTGAGCGTGGTGCTGTTCGAGGCGGACCGGTACCCCAAGTGTGCGCCGCTGCTGGCTTGCGAGGACGATCTGGAGACGGCCGCGATGCTGGACGCGATCGCGGTCGAGTTCCGCGACGGCGGGGAGCTGGCCCGCATCGTGGCGCGCATATGCGAGTCGTGCGGGCTGGGATGCCCCGAGCTGGAGGCCCTGGCCGCGGAGGGGGGGGCGACGGATTCAGGGTCTAATGGGGGGAATGCGTACGGCAGCGATGGGGAGAGTTTGGGCGGGAGCGGGTTTGTGGACGGGTTGTCCGAGGAGGAGAATGCGTCGTCGTTTGGATTGGAGGAGGAGGAGGACCAGGAGATGGTGGAGGAGCTGGGGAAGCTGCAGGGGCGGTGGCAGAGGCACGAGGACGCGTGGCGGGAGAGGGCAAGGGCGGGTGGCGAGGAGGGGGGCCCGTCGGCGGTGGGGAGGTCCGCGAGCGAGAGCGTGGCGCAGACGAGGCAGATTTTCGACGAGGAGGAGACTTTCAGGAGGCTGTGCAAGGAGCTCCTGGACATTAAGAGGTGAGAGCACGGGATGCGACCGCGGCGCTTGACGGCCCATTCTGAAGATGTGTGGCAGACCCGGTTGACGTTGCGGACGCAGCGTGGGGTGCGCACCGGGGAGTTTATGGAGGTGCTCCTTGACATGCTTGTTGCAACTTCACTGCAACATTATTCCCTTGTTGGAATCCATTGCCATGTGTTCGTGTCGGGAACATGAGAAATTGTTTGGCGTGTGCAACCTCTTGCTTCTTTTTCGCCCACAGCAATTTGGTGTCTGAGCTCTTGTGTGGCTGTGGGAGGCAACAGATTTCGTAAAGCCCTTGTGATTGTGAATCCCTGGGAGCTGTTTGATACACAGTTGGACATCCAGCTGCCAGCAATTAGGCAGCTTCCCAAGAAGCACACAATGTTCTGATCACTGTGGTGCTAACTGCATTCTTGTTGCCCTTGTGCCCTGTTGTTGCCATCTGCAGGGAGCAGGAAAACAGCATGACTTTGTTGGTTGATGCCATTGATGACGACATCTACCGTTGGTGTGTCAACATGGCAGGCTTCAACCCTTCAAGCTGTCTTGCGGAGGACATCCTTGAGATGAGCAGGTTGTACTGCGATTCTTCTGTTCAGATCCACATGACATTCAAACGCGGCCTGTATCCATTTTACCCCCCTCAGATCGAGGTTGTCAGGCCACGATTCAAAATGCCTCTGGCTTGGGCTGTGGCATCCCACCCAATGTTCCACCTGTCAAACTGGGACCCCTGGCTCTCACCAAAAGCTGCCATCCTACAGATCAAAGACTTCCTGGAAAACCATGCTCGCATCGACCTAAACTCGCCTCTGAATGCTCCCAGAGAGGGTGCATACTCTGATGCAGAGAGGCAGCTAGCTCGACTGGAGGCACTGTCAGAGTTGCCCCCAAGGTGCCTGGCCAGCCCACAATTCGCAAAGTTGTATGAATCTCGAGGTGTTGCCGTGGACAAGAATCATCTGGATGCACTCATGCTGCCAGATGCGAAGAGAATGAAGCCCAAACCCAAAGGCAAAGAGTACTGGGCTGCTGGGACGGGGTATGGCCATGGGAGTGGAAGCACAGAGATATGGGATGCGAAAGCCAGCGAATTGGCTCAAAGAGCCCATGATGCTGAGGTTGAAAAGCTGCTCATGGACCTCGATCGGTCCCTGGCAACAGAGCTGGGTTGTTTACCAGGGGATGGCATCAGCGCATCGACATCGCCTGGGCCATCTGGGAACAACGTCCAGAACGACGTGAACCCTGACAAGGTCTGCGCACTCCTGTTTGCGCTGGAGGGCTCATGTCTGCTGCCATTCCTTCACAGGGAGTTGAGTTGCGCATCATTCACGGACATGTGCAAACGGCCTGAGTACTACTTGTCAATCATGAAGGTGGGTCAGTGGATGTAGAGGTGCATACATGGCATGCTATTGAGTGCTCATTACTCCACAAATAAATGTTTGCAAATCTGTGGAACTCTGTCTCACACAATGCAAATAGGCAACTGTGCAATGTGTGATTTACCATTCCCTTGTCTCCAGCACTCAATGCCCTATATTGAGCAATGAGGGGATGAACCAGACAGGTGGTGCCATTGAGACGCCTGTGCTCCTCCAGGTCGTCCACAAATTATGTCATCCATTTGTAGCCCACCTCCTTCACTCAATCAAGGTGTCAGAATCGTCGAATGTGTCTTCGATTCTTGATTCCTTGCAGTTGCTGCATGAGCCGGCAACAAATTATGGTAGGATGATAAATCTTGCCTGCAGAGAAGCAGAAATGGATTCTGAGCGAAGGAGAAGGGCAGGACTGCCTACCCCATCCAACTTGAATCTCCAAGCAGGCAGCCCCTTGGCGAAGAGAAATCTAAGCGTAGAGAAAGAGGAGAAGATGGGGCGGCAGCTGTCAGAGTTAGTTGTGTTGGCTGTGGGAATATTGATGCCCATGGTGGCAAGAAACCAGGGCAGCAGTGCGGACGTTCCGTGCGGGCATCCCTCCACATCTGGAGGCTGTGGTGATGAAGGTTACATTCAGACCATGAAAGCCATTCAGGTGACTACACTGCTGTGTTGCCATGCTCTTGTTCTACTTTGTTGGCCATAATGGGGCGGGGATGTGGTGGACAACTGCGACTCAGGTTTTGAAATAATGAAATGGTGCCAACTGCGTTGCATGGGTTTGCTTGTGAATGTGCTCTATCGTTTCATTTCGTTCGGCAGATTACCCAGTGTCACAGGTCTTCCTATTCCCTTTGGCTAATGGAGGTTTGGTCAATTGCGATTGGCCTGGCAGTAGCCATGAAGACCCCACCAACCCAGTTGTGATCCCCGCCTTAGTGCACAACTTGTGCCCTATGTTAAACTATGACATTTGTTGTGTTGCCAGTTGGATTTCGTGGAGGGTCTGGAAGGGTACAACGCATATGGCCCAGACAGCCAGCGGGAGCTGTCATTCCCCAAAGAGAGGGTGGTCCGGTTGAGCAGAGAGCTGTCAGGACTACGCTCCCTCCTCCCCTGCACAGCCTCCTCTTCTGTGTTTGTGAGGGTAGATGAGCAGAAGCTGACTCTGTGGCAGGCCATTATAACTGGGCCTGAGGACACCCCCTACTCCGGAGGCTGCTTCCTGTTTGACCTCTACTTTCCGACAGGGTACCCTTCAACACCGCCAAATGTGAGCATGTCACACTTCTGCGCATTGTATATGGCGAATGGGGATTGACGCTCACTGCAAGGGTTGCCGTGCTTGTGGCAGCGTTTGCTGGCTTGGTGCTGTGGAGTGTTGTGCTTTTTGTTGCTGGGAAGTAGATTAGTATGTCCAAATCTGGTGACGGATTGACTCCCCGAGTTGATCTTAACACGTCTGCAAAGAATTGGATATTGGACAAGTCTTTGTGATGGTGGTGTTGGCAGACTTGCATCGCGGGGCACTTGCAAGGGCACTACTGTGGCAAGCGGACCTGTTTGCAGCCTCCATCTTTGTGGACATGACGTTGATGCAGGATGGTGCTTGGATTCAGAAACTAATGTTTCGTTCTGTTTTGAAGGTCAATCTCAAGACAACTGGAGGTGGTACTGTAAGGTTCAACCCTAATTTGTACAACTGTGGGAAGGTCTGCTTGTCCCTACTAGGGACATGGTCTGGTGAGCATACACTGGCAGTCTACCTGCTGTGTGCACATGTTGTGCTATGCGCACCATACCATTTGATAGCTATGGCGTTTGTTTCCCCAAATGCGAAAACAAGTGTAGAGCAGCTGGCTGTTGAACCTTGCATCATTCTAGAGCTTCTGTGGTCGGTTTTGTGAGTTGATCGGAATCCATTCAGTGCTTGGAGGTCTTGTTGAGCAACAGAGTTACTTGACCACTGTGTTTGGCTCCCAAGCAACCTATGCAGTGTTTGTCCTTGGACACAGCAACCTGCATCCACAGATTCGGATGGCAGAAGGCGTTACGTCGATGTGATTAAGGGAGGTCGAAGAAAGGGAAGAAGAAGTCACAAAACAAGTGGCACACCAGTACACCGAAACTCCTTGGATTGGAATGTGTGGCGTGCAGTGGTACATTGCATTGCAGAGACGGTGTCGCAGGATAATTGCTGCCTGAACTCATCATTAAGTTGCAGAACACCATCTTTGGTGCAGGAATCAGCAAGGATAAGCTCATGGCTTACGTATGACAGGTCATTGGAGGATGAAGGAAATCTGACAAATATAAGAAGCCCTGGCCTTGTCGCTTAGTTTCACAGAGTGGATTCAAACAGCAAATCTGTGGAAGATTGGATTATTAGCGGGATTTTTTACGAGAGCTGTGCATTAGCTTGGATGTCTATGGAATCGCGTGTGCATTCATATGTTTTACATGGGCACTGCTTGTCGGATGTACTGCTGCTATGGAAATGGAATGCCATTCAACTGGTTGTCAGCCCTGCTGAATGGGTGAGGTGGTGTGGCTCCAGGGAGTGCTGGAGAGAGGTGGGACGCAGAGGTTTCATCTGCCTTTCAGGTGCTTGTCTCCATCCAGTCCTTGATCCTCGTCCCAGAGCCCTATTTCAATGAGCCTGGGTATGAGGAGGCCATGCACACAGCACCTGGTAAGCAGCAGAGCAAAGCGTACAACCAGGAGATCAGAGAGCATTCAATCCACAGGGCAATGATCGACTACTTAAGAGCGCCTCCCAAGGGGTTTGAGCACATCGTCAGGACGCATTTTTTGCTTCGGGGGGATCACATCTTGGCAACGTGCAGAAAGTGGATTGCTGAGGCCGAGGAAGCCAAGTGCAGCACCCACGCAAGTCGGTTGAAAGGCCTGGTGGAGGAGCTAGGGAGGCTGCTGCAGGATCTGAAACAGAGGTGATTGGCTCAGTGGTGAACTTTGTGCCCAGGACACTCACTGGTGCACTAAGCACGCTGATGCATATCTGGGACTTCGTGAAACAGAGAGCTTGCATGGTCTGACGCTTGAACCTGGTTGACTCTTAGCCATGGGCTCGCCCCGGAGTCGGGATGTGCAAGTGTGCATGGATGCATAGTGGGCCTTTAGGGTCTCCCTACAGGCGGTGTGCTGATGATTGGCCTGGCATGCACAACTTGCTGCGGTGGTGGGCGCTTTCTGGCCCACGCCATGCAGATATGACAGCGCAAGTGATGTGCAAATATGACGATGCACTTGTCTACAGTGTGCCCGCATTGGGCGTCGTACCATACTGTGAACTTGGGGTGTATGGTGTGGGATAAATGTACATAAGAACGCTGCGATGGTGCACATGGCATGAGATGGTGCACACGGCATGAGACAATGTGAGGCAGGTCGCGCTGCCTAAAAGGAATCGACGATTGGCTTCACACATCCCTGTGTCTTCGCATGGATATGAGGCAGTGATGGGCGTTGGCAGGCGCAGCTCAAATAGGAGGCAGTGCGGCACATCGAATCCCTCCAGAGAATGGAAGGGGCCTGCTCTCAGGCACGCGTGAGCCAAGAGTCTGCTCCTTGTGTTCGATTTCAATCCCAGGGGTGCTCAACCGAGAAGCGATCATCGAAATGGATAGTGTTGGTGAAATGGAAAGCAGCACCGCTGTTTCTTTGAAGCAAAAGGTGGCCGTCTGACATGGCAGCCACCCGGGCAAAAACCCACAAAGCGCTAAGCCTTTGCCTGTCCTGCCTTCCAGCTTGATTGGATTTGCGTCGAAGGAGACGAATCTGGGGACGTATAGCTCCCTTCCGAACACATCGTCAGCAATTCCGCCACGGAAAGCCTGGCTCCAATGGGCCTCCAAGCCTTGCACATTCAGGCTAGCGCTGATCTCCTGGCCTTGGGCAAGAACACGCCGGAAGCTGCTTCAATTCTCATAGAATCACTTGGAAGCCCATGCACTCGAACGGCGAGAACGCAATGGGCGCGATCTGTCGAAATCCAAGTGCTGGAGACCTCAAACTCTCGGCTGTGAAGGCATTCTGGTCGGGCTGCACGCCACGGCCTGTGTGCATGGGTCGCACATGCGAAGAATGCCAACAGAATGCCTACAACTTCAAAGACGATGGTCCGTTCCATTCAGCCCCTGTACAGCCACATCTGTGCCGGCCGCAGGCTGCATCCCTGGGCCCACTGCGTGGACCGTACTAGGGCGCGTCACGACCAAGCGCCACCCGGGCTGGGAGTGGGGGAAATCGACGCCGCCGGGTCTCCCCGCCGGACGCCGTGAGAGGCCAAGGACCGGCGGCACCAGCCCGCCGAATCGCCGGCGCATTAGCACCATGGCAGTCATTGACGGACGCGCCTCACGCGGTTCGTTTTGGTACATTTGCCATATGAGCATTGGTGGCTGGCCGCGGGGAGTGACCAATCTCGCTCACGGACCGGCAGTTGACCCTTTTTCCTCACACGTACCGTGGTACCGTACACTGATTGATGTGTTTTCATGCCTCTATTCAAACTGCCGTTTGTGTGTTGATGCAGGGAAGCGTTTGGGGGGAAGCCCCGACTGATGGGGGGCCGCCCCTCTTTCAAAGGGCCGTATGGCAGGATACGAATTCGGACAGTTGTGTGTGACGCCGTGCCGCCACGCAGCCGGAGGTTGCGTGGTTGCATGGCCACGCTTTAATGGGCCCCTGCCCCCTTGATGAGCGGTTATGGTAGAAAAGAGGAGGGGGTTGAACGGAGCTTTCTTGTGGTCTTGTAAAGGACGGCGGTACGTTCTGGCCGTCACCCCCGGAGATAGCGTAGTCTAACCACCCCTGAACGAGCAGCTGAGCCTCGTCGACAGCCTCAGCACCTCGCCAGTTGAGGGTGCACACAATGAACAAGCTTCGCCCCTCGCGCGAACCAACGCTTCACGAAGAACTGCTTGTCGCGGCGATGACAACGAACAAAATTAGCAGCAACGGCAGGGGAAGCTTCATACGGGCGGCAAACATCCAATTGAACGTCAAGCGTGCAACCTCACAACTGCCCCCCAGGGGGCCACAACTGGTCGTAGCCAATCCCCAAGTTCAGCGAGGTCAGGGCATAGGTCTGCCCCATGGGTCGGGCCAGCTTTGTTCGCAGAATAGCGATACAATAAACGAAAGATGCTTCTTTCTGCCTCAACGAAGCTGTGCAGCGACGAAGGTTGGTCACTTTTGGCCAGCAGCACGACCACGCTTGCAGTGCTGGTCTTGAAAGGCAAGGAAAATGGCAAAAAGGCACATACTGGCCGCTACCTTGGACAAGGTCGAGCGCTATTGCGCTCAGGCCGTGGCGAATGTTGCGCACACGGCCAGGGGAGTCAAGCAGCCAGGCTGAGTGCCCAGACCACCGCGTGAGACACACGCGAACACCGCGCAAATGTTCTTATAGCTGCTGGGCCGAGTGCAACAATACAGAGTCCCTTGTTCTTTCGCCGCGCCCCCAGTACTTGTAACCCCCAAAGCTCTGGCAAATACCCCCCATTCCTAAGAGATGCTTTTTTGATACCCGGAATCTTTCTGCCACCCCCGTCGCTTCACCGCAACTCAACCCGGCACGCCCTACTTCGCGCAATCAGCCACCACGTGATGCCACAAGGGCCACATTCCCGTTAAACAGCCTCACTTTCTGCAGTCAGCAACCACGTAATGCCCCACGAGGTATATTCCCATCAAACAGCCATGTGGCGCCTCCATGCACCCCTCCTGGCTCTATCCCGCCCTGGTCCATGGCAGACCGCCAGGAGGGCAATCCCTAAGCAAACGCACGCGTCCAATGGCAACCTGGGTGCGCCTCAGTACTCCAAGGCGTTTTCGGGGCGCGTTTGACTCATGCATCTCCGTGTGATACGCTGCCACGCATTGACATTATGCTCAGCACCTTTACAGTATCCTGGTGGACTCTTTGGGTGTACAATGAAGTTGCCATAGTTTCTCTTTGCCTTCGAAGTCATCCCCCTGTGCTCTGAGTGCCTTGAGCTCGCAATACTAGAAAATTATGTAGGATGCCTGACTGATGACTTGGGTGTTTCCCACCTCATTGAGCGCCAGATTGCTAGATGATGATCAGTGTGGCGAAGGCGCTGAGGCTGTCGACATCCCCTCTGCATCATATCGGGACCTCACAGGTCTCCAGCTGAGTGATATCATTAAATTATTAACTTTTGATGGGCCCCATTAGTTGGCGACCCTAACACGTCTTCAACTGTGCAAATTTTGTGGAGCCCCTGGCGAGCAAAGTGACTGGTTTCTCAGGGTGCTCATCGTGTGGGTAGGCCGCCCCGTTGGTGGTTGTGTCGTTGGCCCCTCCCGCGAGTCATTTTTTGCAGTACCTTATTGAAGCCGGTGTCTGTGTGTACTTAGTAGTAATGTGGGGTGCTGAGCCGTCGCTCGAGGTAAGAGCGCAGTATATGAAGTTGTTCCCGTCGGAAAGCCAGCTGCCCTTCGTCGAGGCCCCTTCTTCCCTTTGTGGCTTTGTTGTTCTTGAAAGAATTTGAATCGGTTCATTGCCGAGCAGAACTGAGTTGCCCTGCACAAGTTTGGCGCCAAACCGAAAACAGGTTTTGGCGCCAAAAGCAAGCCATGGCGCCCGTTGCCAACCCCGGCGCACAAAGGCGGGGCGGGCCTCCTTGGTCGTGCAAGCCTTCCCCATGGACACCAGCGCAGTGTCGCCTCCCGACCCAACGGCCTTGAATATGGAGACATGCAGCCATGATAACCTGAACCAGGATCTGGCTTTCGGCTGCACCCCCGCAGGCTCTGGTCCCGCTGTGGACACGCCCTCATGGGATGGCGCCAGCCACTCGGCGCAAGCCAAATTGTTGAACGCCTACAGAAAGGCAACCTCTGACATAGGTGCGCTCAATCCGGCGGCAGCGCTCCCAGTTCTTGCGCTTCGCCCCTTGCACCTCGCCCCGCAGTTGCGCGAGGCCAGCGCGGGGCCAGCGCGTTGCACCCAGCCGCCACTGATCCCCAACACAAATAGCGGAGGTCGCCTTTTCAGCACAGTGCGACACGCTCCTCGTCCGTGCCGGCAGCGGCCAGTGGCGGCACACCCAACCCCCTACACCCCACCCCGGCCCAGCGAAGCGGGCCTGGCGCGCAACGCAGGCACCGTTCCCGTCCCTGCCGCTTCACGACCTTCATGATTTTGGGTCCCCAGGCGCCAAGCCGAGCAAATGCGTTGAATCCCTTCTGGTTGGCATCCCCCGCGCGTCGATGGGCCAGGGAGTCCATTTCGGCCCCCCGGGAGGCTCAGACGGCGCGGCCATCAGCGGCGATCAGGCGACGGCGCTCGTGACGACCCTCCTGCTCGGCGCGCACGGCCGGAGGGGACGGCATCCCAAGCAGTTGGTCGAACCCCTGACGTCCCTAGATATCTCCGACACCGGGGCGGACAACGGCACGGTGAGGGCGCTGTGCCTGGGATGCTGGGCCCTCAGCGGCCGGTGCGCGCTCAGGGACCTGTGCTTCAGCAACTGCAAGCTCGAGGGCGGAAGCGACGACAGAAATGGTGCGCATGTGTGGCTCCCGCCGACCACCCCGTCGACGTGCATGGATGCATGGGCGACCTGAAACGGCGGGGGCGCGTGCCTGGGTGGCGGATGGTATTCGGCAGGTGTTGTGCCAAACAGGGACTGGGGGCGTACTGGGAGGGTGTCCAGGCTCCCGCGGCCTTCACACAGTGGCTGAATATGTTGGGGGAACTGACAATGTGTCCCTGGTTTTTGTTTGGACAACAACAGTCAATCGCTCTTGCACTGCATGCCTTAGCAGAACACCTCTGCACTGACGTTCCATTCAAGCTTGCAGATGGCGCCAAGGCTGCCTTTGGACCTGATGCCTGTGTCCCTTGCATCCCTTGTATCATTGTTGGACCCTGGCTGGGGGCTGCTGGTGTTCAACCCTGTTGCCTGTCCGCAGACTGCATGTGGAGGATTGCGACCTGCCGGCCGCTCTGCCGCACCCTGGAGAGAGTCTTCTTGACGGGAAATACGCAGCTCAACTGCTCCAGCAAATTTGTGTGGAGCCGATTACTAGGCCGTGCTCGTCTTTCCATGATGTGCCTGCAGGACACTGGTGCGTTGTTTCACCTCAAACCAGTGAGCTGCACTTCAACTGCCCAGTGCTGCATATCTTTCTGTTTCACACTGTTGCACTGCTGCCTCTACCATATGAAGTTGACGCAACTCTCATGAGCTGTCGACCATTGCAGGTGATTCGTAAACAGGGTAGTCAGTGTCAACTCTGAACTTGACTCAATCCACTGGACTCCATTTGCTAGAATACAGGAAAGCACGGCCCTTGGCCTAGAAACGCGTTGGGGACATGAGTACTGCCAGATGGCTTGCTCAAGAACATTTGTTCCTATCCCCGGACCTGAATGTCCCAAATCTTGATAGCTGTGCATTTGAAGTTCAAGGCAGAGTGCAGAAGTGGCGATCGGGCAACCGCAGCCTGTTTACCAACTCTGAATCAGTTGTAGAATGTGTGCTTTGTGTCAATCAGGTATGAGCAACTGCGCGATCCATGGCATGTGTCAAGCCCTGGCGAGCTCAACAGAAGCCCACAATTCTCTGCGCTGTTTACGCCTTGGGCCTGCTGCTGACGCCAACAATGGCCACATTGACAATGCTGCCTTTAGCAACATTCTCCACTGCATTGGGCAATTAGCACAGCTCCAGGTGTTGGACGTCAAGGGACTCACAGCAGAACAGGAGGAGGCGCTTTTGGCGGTAATAGCTCATGCTGATCCACTCAAAGCCCATCGGCAGCTGCAATAGAACAGTTTGACTCTCATCGTCCGCCATTGTGTGCAACACTGAGCTAGTTGGCTTGCGTGGCAGGAGTGGAAACTGCTGAAGCCAACTGACGTCTTCGTCGATCGGCCGCAGCCAGGAGAGTTCCGAATCTCAACAAGCAAGAGGTAGGCGATATTCAAACTTACTCGTGCATGTCACGCAGCTGCCGCTTCTGCGAGACGCGCTGGTAAAGAGAAACAGCTTCCCAACTGCTTCCCCACTCTTGCCTCTTTGAAAGTATCAGAGCACTGTCTGACTGTGGTTGGAAAGCACAGGCTTTTCAACTGGGGCTGCTGCATGAAGGCTGGCCAGTTTTTTATCCTCCTTTGAATCGATAAACAAAAGCACACTGTATTGACACCAGGAACATGCTGTTAGAGGCAATCTTGTGTTGTGAGGGTCGGTTTTGTTCGCGGTGGCAGGTGAGATTACACTTTTAAGTGGCCTTTGGCCCCACCATAATGAGCATTCGCTGAAAGACTCTTTCGCTCTGCACATAGGTGTCACTGTGAAGTGGAGGACATACCAGCCACGGTTCTTGCATATGGCGATGTGCAGACTGCATATCTGGGCTACAAAGAAAAGCAGCCCACGATTCCCAGTGAGAACACATCTTGAGCTGCGCGTGGTGTCAGAAATGCAGGTTGCAGAAAACAGAATACAACGTGTAAAGTCGTTGCAGGTGTGCAGAAATATGACTTTCTTTGCTGCGTCGCCTTGAAGCCGCACTGCCTCAGAAATGCAGGAATTCGAAACAAATTTCTTGTGCAAGTTTGATCCCCTCCTGACACAATGTCCATGACAGGGATTGCTGGAGCCGTCAAGGGCAAGGATCGAAGCCCCTCACCACTGCAACCAGGGACCCCGAGTGAGGACAAGAAAAGGACCCCGTTTCGCGACATCCAGCCTTGCACTGCTGCAGTTGCTGTCCGGAGCGATCGGAATGGCTCGAATGCCAATCCAGTTGACGACTTACGCCACTGGGACGTCCAGCCTTCTAAATCCAAGGGACAGGATGGGACAGCGGAAGCTGCCACAGAAAAGAAAGCTCCGCAGGAATACCAGCTGTCCGACGGCGAGTTGGCGGCCAGGAAGGCGGCGAGGAGGGCAGCTAAGAAAGCACGCCGCCGCGAGAGAAAGCGACAGCAGCGGGAGAGCTTGATCGTTGTGCTGCCTGCACTGAAACGGAGCCATGCCCCAAATACCCCAGCCAAGACGGAGCCAGCTGCGGCAGCACAAATTCAGGAGGGCGTTGCGGGCGAGGGACGGCAGGATTGTCTGCTGCAACCGTTTGGGCTGGAGCAGAAGAGGCAAGACGCTGCGCCCTCGCCAGCCAGGGGCAAGGGAGGCGTTGCAAACAAGAGACCGCGCCAGCGTCTCCAGCGGGGACCGCGGCCTGGAGACAAAAGGAAGGGAACTCGAGGGGTGTGCATCAGGACGAAGGCTAAGGCGCCAAAGCCTCGTGTCCTGGATGAGAAGCTGTTTGGCCCACCGCCTGGCGGGCGGGTGTTTGTGGCCAAGAGGGGTTCAGGTGCGTGCAACAGTCCAACAGGCTGCTGGCACTGGGAGCCACAAGGGATGCTGGTCGGGAGTTGGGCATGTGCATTGCGATCAATGAGTGGGCCAGGGCCAATTGGAGTATCTGGGGAGGTGAGCTTGTGGGGCATGCTGCCAGTTGCAGTCCTGCGTTGGAATCCAGCAGGATGTTTCCTGTGATTGAATCTTCACCGTGCCATTCAGTGTGCATGATTTCATTGTTGGCCAGGACGCTCGATTGGCGCCTCCGACCTGCAGGGGTACGTGTCAGACAACTTCGTGCGCCCAGACGACGAGCTGGTGTACACAACCAGCGCGGACGACTTGGATGTCTGCAAAGATTGGGATCACCTGGGGAGAGAGGGCCTGCTGGACAGCGACTGCACGTCGTCTGATGGGGACACACTGCTGGTGACCCGGCGTGGCCGCCGACGGCTGGGAGAGAAAAAGCGACGGGCGTCTGATGGCAGGTTCGACGCGAAATCGTGCCCCTTGCCGCCGATGAAGCGCAAGGGCCTGAGATGATGTCATTCCAAATATTGTTGTGCAATACCGTGCGAAAGGAAAGGCGACAACTTTGGCGATGTGCTTCTATAAATCTGGGAGGCTGCTTGCCAGTGTTCCAAATCGCCGGTTGGGCAGGAATGGAAGAGGGTCAAGGAACCTGCTGAGAATGCTGGGTCTCGGGTGGAGGATGGCGTGCTTGCCATGCTCAAGACACACTAAGTGGAGTTGGATTGCGAAAGCCCCCCACCCCGTTGCCCCTCAGAACTTCCTGCCACCAGCTGGCCGTTCAGCATGGGGTCTTTTGCAATATACCAGCTGCGTGCTGCCAGTTGCTGGGACGAGGTTCTGGGGTGTCATGGGCGGGGGGGTGTTAGCACATGGGAAACACAGCAGCGAGTAGCCAGTGGGAAATGGGAGGCACCGCTTCTGGCCCTTCCAACATAGTAAAAGGAAAGAAGAAAAACAACTTGCAGTTTGCAGCCAGTGATGGTAAAATTTTCACAAACTTCTCGCAGCAGTGCCAAGTGGAGGAGCATGATTGTGCATGCAGATTCAGTCCGCACCCTTGAAGAAAGGACGCTTGTGCTTGGCAGCTTGGTGTGTGAAAAGAAATGAGGACAGGCGAGGGTGCCATATGCGCCCATGTTGCAGTTGTGGAGGCAACACCCACATTCTGGCTTGGCAAGCTAGCGACACAGCCACAGTTGCAAAGTTGCTGGTGCTGAACCTTTGCCACCCTTCAAGGATCCAGTTATTGACCTCCAAGCCTCTTGATTACCAATGTTCTTCACGTGCTCATAATACGCAAACACAGCCTCACACAATGGCCATCGGCATTCAGCAATTTTAGGACTACATATTCAGCGTCTCAGGCTGCTGCATCTTGTGACAGATATCGTTGCACTCAACAGCACTCCCTGTCACCCCACCCTAATCAGGTTGGTCCTGCTGGGCGCCTATGGAGCCGCCGAGTTCAGAAAGAACAGTAATCCAGCTTCTGCACAGAGAATCCCCTGCAAATTGCATTGCAAGCCTTTGCACCACTTCAGTCAGTCTGCAAGTCGCGCAGTCGGCGGATGGTACTCCTCACAGTGATGGATGTCCCAGTGCTGCATGACAGGCAGGCGAGCAAGAGGTGTTAACCATGAGATCCGTGCTGCCCCAACCACATCGACCAACACATCCCAAGTATCACATTGACGAGACAAGGACAGGGATGGTACCTGCACTCTCATTGTGATGCAATATCTTGGAATTGTAACAACAGACAAAATCATGCTGACAAGAGTGCTGTCAGGTGCTCTTCTCTGGCCGTAAATCATTTTTATCGAATGCCAATCTGTTCCATGTACTTGCAGTATCTGGAGGATAAATGGATGTAAAACAACTGGTTTTGCTGGTATGAGGTCCGCTGAAACTGCAGCCTCCAGCACTATGAACACCTCGATGAGGAAAAACACCATGTCAACTTTTGTTTAGATTCCATCCTGTTACAATGTGTTTTTTTACAATGTGGTTTTATAGGTGGCACCTGGACTAAAATATGTCACTCTGTTTTGACACCTAAACCCAGGAAAATGAACAGCTCATGCCCCATTATTCTATCCCCTCTTCCTACTGTTCTCTTGCTACTCTTCACAGTGCTGCTGTAGACTCTAAAGTTTGTACTGCTATAGCATGTTGCATTATAAAACAAGAAATGCACCCACACCAACTGCACAAAAATATGGACTGGTGCTGTCATCACATGCAGACATGGCTGCATGCATTGAAATGCTTTGAGATTCGGTGCAGAAAATGGACAGCGGTCAGGTTGAAAGGCAGTGGAAACTTGCAAGACAAATTCACACCACGAATGGGCTGCAGAACTTTCATACCCCATTTGTTTTGGCACAAGTCCACAAGCACCGAAAAGGGATGTGGGGTGTGTGTGTTGGTGCATGTTGGTATTTGCATGCTTCTATGGATGAAGAGTACGGACTTTGAATCTGCAATGATTGACCTAGTGCAGATACTCTGGAAGCTGAGGGCGTCTGAGTTGATTGTCACTAATCTATCAACAACAACAATGAGCATGAACTTACTTGAGCAACTCACTTCTCAGTGAAGGGTTTGCTCAACTGTACTATAGTAGCAACCAGTTGTGAACAACATTCCACACTATGCCTTAGTTCCATTGGTGCAAATACCCTACTGCAGCATTCTCAATGCTTCAGCAGGGGATCATCATGCTGGCCCCCCAAATGCCACTGAAATACACAGACACTGAAATACGAGTCCTTCCAAAAATAAAAGTATTGAACAACGAAGGACACCAATCGTCATGCAAAACTTTGACTTGCTGAAAAGTTCAAGGAATCGTTGTGGAATTCAATAGTGCGATCCATTGGTCAGGTTTGCTCCATTCTTTAAATAGCTTAAAGTCAAGTCAGCAGGTGGTCAGACTATCACAGCTTACTTAAGCACATAGGCGCCACCAGCAATCGTCTTGTTGCATGGCTTGCAGTGCCAAATCCCCACAGCCACTCGCTTGATGCAGTGCTGCAAAAGCACAAGGCTCAAGTAATTGACTGTTGAAAAGCAGTGTACAGAGGCATTGAGCTCTCCTCCACGCAATCATTTTCGCAATTTTGTCAATTCCACCACAGGATGCAAAGATCGCAGAATACAAGCAGAACGGGTTGCAATGACAGGCACACATGTAATTTATTGGAGCCAAAGCGGGTTTCGTTCATTTCCCAGCTGTCCATGCCAACAACATATAAATGAATTTTTATTCTTTAGCATTTTTCAGACTAGAAATTTCAGTATTTGTCCTGGGTTTTAGAGCACATGGACTGCTGGAGGGACTATGCTTTCAGCCAAAAGACCCCAGCACTCGTTGCCCATCTCACCCAGCAAACTGCCACAAAAGCCACAAAAGGGTTGGCGTCATCGCCCCACCAGCCAAAGATTCTGGCCAATGCCGGGCCAATGATGGTATAATGCTTGAGGTGGTTGCCGGGTTGAGGATTTGCTAACAAGCGGCACAGCCACAGTGCCACCCACGTCTGAAGTCCCATGCGTTCGGATCAGCGACAGCAGCGGCCAGCACAGGCTGGTCCCGGCGCTCACTGGTCGCTGGCTGGATATTGCGGACTGTACCAACGCTTGGGAAGAGCTCGAAGGTGTGCGTAAAGTTGTGTCCATCTAGTGTTTGACTCGCAGCAGTGACAAACTCCAACTTCTCGCCAGGTACCCTGCCGCGCTGGGGGCAACGAACGGAAAGCAGGCGTCGGATACCCAAGCCGACGGCGCACTGTCCGCTGGATGCCAGCCCTGGAGCGCACCTTCCCGCAGAACTGGCAGAAGTACTTCGAGTGCTGGCTGACTTCCATCTTCTTGATCTGCTTCCTTAGACTGGCGCCATAGCGCGTTCCGTACTTCCCCACGATCCCGACCTTCTTCGTGCGCCTGGCCTGTCGACACAACAGTGCTGCACACACCCTCAGGCTTTGCAGGCACGGCCCCAAGTCAGGGACGGCCATGGATCGAATTCGCACTTCTCAGATTTGCCGGGCAGGAGACAGTTCGCTTCACAAGTCTCCAGATCATCTTAAGCTGTCGGTAAAACGCATATTTCAAGCCAGTCGCGACCAACGCTGCTTCGGTAGGCAAAACTCCGCTAGGATCGTCGTCGAAATGATGGCCAGACACTGCCCACAGTGCTTGCGCGGCCAGGTTACGCTGTCGCAAATGGCTGCTTGGCGCTGAAGCCCACGCACCATTGCTGCTAGCGCCGGCTCGCCGCCTTTGGCGCCACCTCCCGGCGGTTGGGCGCAGTGCGGTGGGTGTGACTCTGTGCGGCGGCGCCTTCTGGGGTGCTCTCATCCCCCGCAGGACATCATCCAGTGCTTGATGCAACAAATGACAGAGTTTCTTCCAATTTCAACTCTGCAAACCGCTTGAAAACATTCCTGGCCTGGGAGGCCGGCGGAACACTATCCTTTTCGCAGAAAATTTGTGCACCCCTCGCTCACAGTCACCGTGTCCGGCCCTCGCAACCCTCAAACGAGGCAATTCCACGATGGAGTTTGTGGGATGCTGCTGTTGACTCGACTCGCAGCAAGCATCCCCTTTGTGATTGCGTGAAATCCAGCTGTGCATGCGCATTGGTGTGTGCCGCAGTTGCTGCGATATGTCGTCGTGCGTTGGTCACCGAAGCAGGTGATCGCCCTTGTTGCGAATCTGTGCACGAGCCTCGACTACCTGCTTGTCGTCGTAGGTTGGCCAATCCGGGGTGCGGGCCAGGCAAAGGCGCTGATGTCGTGTCAATTGTGTCAACCTGGCTCTGCGGAATCCTCCCGTGATTCATCAGCAAATCCATGTGAGCAGTGATGGTTCGCATAAAGGTGCACCTCAACAGTTCTAGAGTACCTTCATACGAAGCTTGCAGGACAATCATGCTTCATGAACCATGCTGTGAGGTCCTTTCGAAATCTGCAGTTCAGATCGTTAGAACACTGTGTCGTCTCCGCATGACTATTTGCAAACTAGCAATCACTGTTTTGAATTTAGTGGCTGCGCGAGGCACGCGCCTCGTGCCTCGTGTCGAGGCATGCTGCACAGCCACCGAGTCGTGCAGTGCCCATGCATCCTTCGTTCATGCAGGTTAAGCGCAAGTACATTCCTTGTCCACTCATGCGGTGTTGTGAAAGTTTCCTGCTGAATACATTGAATTCGAGATGAAACTGGTGTTTCGGAGGCCTTTCTGCATAGCTGTGGGAGTGGAAGCGTAAGGGCCCGTGCTTGGCGCGCCAGAACTACCCCAAGCACACAAAAGGGGGCCAGGCACCTAGAGTGATATCAAAGGGGTCGGCTTGCAGGAGGCGAATGGAGTAGCGTTGTTGGGAGGTGACTTCATCACCACGCTCGTTCGTTTGTACTAGCGCTTTTAGTCTTTGTCCCATCCTCATTCTCAATTCAGTAATTGAAAATTCACATCTTTCATGGGCTTTAGGCCCGGCTATACACTTAAACAAAAGCGGCTAGCTGGAGGGGTCGTGCCCCAGCACGAGCCCATGTGCGCAACATCGTGTTTCTTGCATCTCCCAAAGTTCCTGATGTGGGCTTTGCACGCCTGGATGGCTCCTCTTAATCTGCCTATCTCCCCATTGTCGCACAAAGCACCACATCCACCATTCTTAGTGGCCATCTGGGACCGTCAAACGTGCAGGGTCCCTCCTATCAAGACTGTCGCGACCATTGGCCATCTGGGCCCCTCAAACGCGCAAGTTCCCTCCTATCAAGACTGTTGGGACCATCGGCCACTCGAAGCTAGCCGGGCCAGCTGATCTCCAGTACACTGAAACTGACGCTGCCATACCTGCTGGCACTGGCATGACATCTCCTAAATCCCCACCCCAAGCCCCACCCCACCCGAACCCACAAGCTTCATTTGACACGCGACTTCTCTGTTGACCTGTCACCCTAGCGTTGGGTCATTGTGCGTGCTCCTGCTGCCCTGCCACCTTCACCCCGCCGCGCATGCGCCAGACATCACTGTTGCACTTCCTTATGGGTCGGAATGTTCGTTGGAAACTGCGCCAGAACTCACACAACCACATCACAACACACTGGAGACACAGCAAGAATGCAACACCCAGCCCCAAAGTTAACCCCAGGACCTTGAGCGGTTATTTTATTCTTTTGCTAGACAGCTCTGGGACTTCACGTTGGATTTGTTGCTTCTCTGGCATTCCTGCTTGATCATTCTGGGAGACCAGGTTCTTCAGCATCTGGGCTGTCCCCTTTCACCTTCGTAGGTCTCTGACGCATCTTCAACATCACGATCAGCCCAAGCACCACAACGCTCCCCTGCCAAAAAGTTGTGAAGGCACCCTGGTGCAAAATCCACAGCCACAGACATCTTCACTTGGCCAGACGAGATAGCAGCTTCCATTTGTGGGTTGACATTGAAAAACTCTGTAGTTGATCCTTGTCATCCACAGAGCACACCAGTACTGAATCGGGGAAGCAATCAATCCACACATATATATACAACCGTCCATCAATCAGTCAATCATTCTACCTGTTGCAAAGCCAGGAATAGTAAGCAAAGCAACAATACAATCTTGCAGCAGGTCAGCCATGCTTAAGCAATGTTTCTGTCAACACTTTCTATGCGATCACATCGGTATGCAATATTGAATTATCTCATAACATAGGCAACGTCAGTGGAGTGCAGTGGCAGGCCACAGCAAAAGTGCAGAGTGCGCTAGGCATTGGAGATCTGCAGCATAGAAAGCTATTCACAGCGATCTGCTCAACCCCGGCCCAGCTGGGCAATTGGCGAAAACCCCGCTCAAGATTTGACTACAGGATTCTAGTGGTGAGAGCCATACCTTCTGCACTGCATGATGTGTGAGTGCCAGCTCGATGGTGAGCAAGGAAGACACCCAGACAACAGTGCCCACCTGTTACAACAGATTTGGGCACAAATATCCGCTCAAGATCCATATGCTGATTTGTTGCAACTTCAAATACAATGTCATGCCTGGACGTTATGTCCAGTCGATCGTAGTGTTGATCTTGTTGCTGGTCTGACATCCAGGCAGATTGCACTTGTGAAGGAAAGGAGGGAAGGGCAGAGTACGCACTGCCTTGCCTTTCTAGAGGCCTACTCCACAAACATTACCTGAATAACATAGGAGGGAAGTCACAGTGCTGGCCAACCATGCAAGTACCTGCGCTGCCCCAGCTGCAGTCTCATACAATGGAGGCAAAAACAACAAGGGTTTCCAACTGCCAGCTGCTGATGCACAGAATGCGTGCACGGTGTGGGAAACAACAATGTTGGATGTCAAAAGTGCACATATCGCCTTGCAAGTGGGAGGTCAGCATTTTGTGGATGGACAAGCTTGTTGTTATTCAGAGACACCAGTCGTACAACGGGCCCCCTTCCAAGCAAGTACGCGTTAAACATTTTTTGGATGGGACCAACACAACCAGTGCAGATTTCAACAGCTGCTCATGTGGCAACGACACAGCCACTGTGCCGTCAACTGGTCGGAGCGGGACTCACATTTCTGTGTATCCATTTGACCCTCTGCTGCAGCCACATGGGCAGTGTCTCAAAAATGCCTAGGCTCTTGAAGCTGGCGGCCCCAATCAAAGGGGCCAGGGCTGTGAAGATTAGTGTTGCCAGTCCAACCTGCAGGCAGCTCCAAACATTCAGTCCACAGCCCAGCTCACATTGAAAACCATCCTGTAGAATGCCCGTGCCCAAAGCTGACGTTTGCAGAGGCGGAAACTAGTCCCAACGCTGTGGTCGCATGCTGCCTGGAATACTTCTGCCATCTCCAGCACCGCCACGGCGACCTTCTCACCTTTGCGTGCCGAGACAAGAAATGCTCCTTGCCGTGCGCAACCTGCGCAAGCAGACAGGTCTCTTCACCTCCCTGTCAACGGGCTTTCGCTGTTCGTGGTGCACTTGTTGTGTGATTCTTCCCGCCAGGGAGGCTATGTACCATCTTTTTACAGCATGGAAGAGAGCCTCGCATTCATTTGCTGCAGAAGGGCCGCCCTTTGTACGACATGTTTTCTTTGATCTGTAACAAATCTTATCCCCCCAACCGCCCGCAGGGCGTGTGTCCCCCCTGCGGTGCGCGTTCCAAGCACAGGGGAAACAAAGGACCTGGACCGCGAAAGTTGTCCCAACTACAGAGGAAATGGAGCAACCCTACCGCGGAAGCGAGGGCAGGATCGGCACCTTGTTCGCATAGATGGCCCCGAAGCCCGCCCCGACGCACACCACCGCCGAGACCTGCCACCACATATGCCTAGTGATCGCTGCCACCCGCCGGTCGCCCTCCAGGGACCGGAAGCCGACGGCCTCTAAGATTCCCTCGCACATGAGTAGCAGGTATCCGATTGCCATGCAGGTGGGGTGGTAGGCGAAGAGGCTCCAGTCGAAGAGCACCAGCACCAGGCTGAGGGACGTCAGGGCGCCAAGGCCGTGGGCGGCCAGGCCGACCAAGTCCGCCATGTCCACGGCGCGCGGGGCTCTATGCGCGAGTGGTCATCAACAGGATAGGCTGCGCCGTCCGGCGACGGGACGCCGCGAAAGCGGCAGGTGCGCCTTTGCCCTTGTCCCTGGGTCCTCTGCCCTTGGGGCAACCAGCCTCTCGATACGCACACCGGGCACAGGGAAGGGATGCGGAAGGTGGATGCAATCCGACAGATTGAGGCTTAAGTACGCCGGTTTGCACCGAACCTTGGACGAGGACCACGCAGGTACGGCTGGAGCGCAACCCCACAGCGGCCCTTGTACTCGTCACAGTCTTGGCAGCCTTTGCGGTGCCCAGTGCGTTTTCAGCGAAGGGAACGGACGGTAGAGGGCGGCGCTCGAGCGACACATGGCCGGCAACTTCCCCGCGGAGCACCCTCTGTGGCGGGACATTAACTTTTGTCCAGAGTGGGTCTACCAGCGCATTCAGGAGGAGGCCGCCAGAGCGGGCCGCCCAGGTGCGCCCTGTCCAACCACCGAGCGCTGATCCTGTCGAGATTCCGGCCCTCAGAAGATAACAAATCGAAGCCACTTCCCCAGGGCGCCGTGGTGTACGCGCGGCTCGCTGCCCTGAGTTTGTTGTCCACATAAAACGCTCTGGGCATCCTGGCACAGCTGGGCGCTTTGCTTTGCTCCTGATTGCAAAAATAGTGTGTCCCACAATGGGCGTCCCCACCCTCAGCGGGCGGCCTTTTGTATGCGCGAACGCTTCGGCTGTGTGTTTGCCCGTCATCGGCTGCAAGGGCTCCGTTTTTGTCCTGTGAAGGCAAATGCAGGAAAACAGCTTGGGCCTGGCCGAAGTGCTCTTGGCGCTCTTCGCACAGGAAAGAGAATTGGACTGTATGGGCAACATTATCCCAGTGCCAGGGGATGCCACGTGGTGTGACGACTTTGAGACAAAACGTGTGGAGTCCCCCAGTGCAACAGGGCTAGCAAGTAGAGCAGGTGCTCCTTGAGAGAGCTGTTCCATGGAGATTTGTGCCTTTTCCCCTGGTCAGGGCGCCAAGTCGCCGAGGAGCCGGTCATACTTCCTGGCGCCGACCAACCGTGGACCGATGAGGAGAATGCTGTGGTGCTCTATGCACAATCAGATGTTGGGAGGGCTGATGGCATGTCCTATGCACATGTTGCCCATGCGCTGGGAAGGTGGGTCCAGCACAGGGTGCTCTGTCGTTCGTGCAGCCAAGAAGAGGAGTGCATGGTGGAAGTAGTTCACTGGCAGTGTTCAAATGGATAAGCATGCCTGCATCACCTCGGGGATTGACACTCAGCCTGCTATCTGGACAAGGGCAAAAATAGAGGAAGTCCTCTGGTCAGATGCGAAACCGTGTTGATCCCTTCCTTTGGTCTCCAGTTGCTCCAGCAGCATTATCGAATTCTGGATTACAACTGGAGTTTCTGTACGGATTGCAACGGACACAGAATGCTGATGCTCCCAACGAGTATGTCGACTGGATGTGAGTGGGAAGCACTCTGCATTGAATGCGATATATGTGACTAAGAATGCATTCAACTTTCTCAGTGTCCAAACGTGAAATGTTCCACAATTTTACACAAAGCCGTGTTCCGGCTTTGCTCGTCACACAGTTGCCTGCCACTCCAGCAGGTGCACTGCATGGCAATTTGGCCATCATGACGGTTTGGGGTGATCATGGACTGCAGTGGGAGCATTGCCTGAGCTATCTGCTGCAAGGTCGTGTGCACTGCTCGGAGAATTTTCGCTTGTGGGCCTGCCGTTTACCAATATTAGCTGTTGATAGCTATGTGACATGCCCGGCCGACGGAAAGACAGTGCTGTGATTACATCAGCAGGCATTCTGGCATTGTCTCAGGAAGGAGTATACACAGACTAAGCTGCCAGCTGATGCAGAAGCAGCTTTCAGCCAGCTCCAGCTGGATGCCATATGTGCCTGGAGCAGCTGGAAACAGGCAGGTTGATAACGCCATTATGCATCTTTTCCAGGACGGTTGGTGCCGTGAAAAGCAGGTGGTTTCGTGAAGTGCGGGCGTGGCGTGATCGTCAGCCAGCTGAACTGATAGAATCCAAAATAGTGGAGGGCAGGAAGCTTGCAGTAGAGAAGTATGGCGTGGCCCCTACACAGAAGTCTCAGGTAAAGACATGCCTATATGTCTGAATAGTTGGTATGCCAACACACAGTACAGCATCATCTGGTGTTCCTTACATTTCAGCCTGCCCATTGTACTTGGCGCAGACCATCTGCATGCCAGCAGTGAGCAAAGTTGCCAAGGAAGTATGTGACATTCCTGGGGCAAGTGCAATGTTCTGTTTATGCAAATAGATACAGCTGCAGTGTTAAAGACTGTGGCACTCCAGGATGGCGAATCTGCGATGTGTGACTTGACCTTCCCACAGAATGCTGAAAGCTCTGTGCTTTACATGCTTGCCACCCACATGGAAAAGAACTCCTGAACAGAGCAAAAACTAACAGGGACAGTTCTGCTGGCTGCACGGAAGTTCTGTGCTTGTTGACAAAATGTTCTCCTAATGGGCAATCAGATGATCAATGGAATTCGAACTGGTCCTTTGTCAAAAATGTCCAATCCTTTGATCGCCTTATTCAAGGCAATGTCCAAGTGGATGCCAGCTTGTGCATGACTTCTGCTGGTGCGCAGGGGTCTTCAAGAGCATCAGCTTTGCCCACAAGGCAAGCAACGGAAAAGCATCACACTCAGCGCTCTTGACATCATTACCCGATTGGTGTGTGTCTTGCTTGGTGAGCGAATGGAATTTGATTTGGCTGAAAGCAAAGCAGGGCATTACAATTTGCAAGCAAGGTGATTTCACTTGCTGGTAGACGATCTTTGCAGAGTTGCCCTAAATCAGACACTAGGTCTAAATCACAGTCATTCTAAATAACAGCGGGGTTGCTATCCATTGCGCATTTGTGTGTTTCATAGTCTCGCTGTACAATTAGCTTGTAACTGCTACAGAAGTCGTGCATTTCACTGCATGCTTGGTTGCGGAAGATGTCGATAGGCAACAATGTGCTTGACGCTGCCAATCCACTTGGTACACCACTATCAAAGCTCAGAACAGGCATGACAGCCAAACAAGCAGCGAGCCAGTGCTGCAGCCGTCCTGGTGCACAAACGCACCCTCCACAGCAACCCAAGTGTCCAGTGATCAATGCTGCCTCCCCAACCCCACACAGCTCACTGTACAGAGAGCCCGCCAACAGGCTTGCCATCCCCACTCTGGCACAAGAAATTCATCAAAATGCGAAACAAACCTGATGTCAGCCTTGACGTCTTGGTTACCAACGGCGCGGAGCGCTTCGAGCGCCCCATCTTTCCAGTTCCCTCCCGGACGGGCCCCTACACCCGCTTTCCCTTGCCCTGCTTCAGCCCCACCAGCTCTAGCAGTGGCGACAGGCCCCTGGACAGCACCCTGCCCACCGCCTGGCCGTACACGTCCACCTCCCGCCAGCTGTCCAGCGCCGCCCCCGCGATCGCCGCATCCGTCTCCGCCCGCAGCCTCTCCCGCTGCCTTGCCGTGCCCGCCCCCTTGCCGTGCACCCTGCAGTTCTTAATGTACGCGCCGCTCTTGCCGCGCAGCCTCTCGGCCAGGCAGGCGTGCACCACCGATGCGGCGCCCTGCGGCACCGTCTTGACGAACACGTTCTGCAGGTACAGCAGCAGGTCCTCGATGGGCCCCAGGCGCCGCGTCAGGCCGGTGGCCGTCCTCCCGGGGTCCACCGTCAGAATCGCCACGCGCCCGCGTCGCGTCCTCGTCGCCATCTCCTTGGCGTAGTACCACAGCGCCTTCTTGGAGCTGGCGTAGGCGGACGTCCAGACGTACTTGCGCCGCGCGTACCCGGGTCCCTGAGGTCCAGCTTGGCGCGGTGCGCCGCGCATGTCACCGCAACCACGCGGCTGGGGACGTCCTGCGCCTGCATCGCCGGCAGCAGCAGCTGCAGAAGGTGGACGTGGCCCAGGTAGTTGACGCCCCAGTGCGACTCAAAGCCCTCCCGCGTGTGCTCCAGCGACAAATTCATCACGCCGGCGTTGAGCACGAGGACGTCTATCCGGGCGTCCTTTTCCGCAAGCACCTCGTCCGCGAAGGCCCGGATCGAGCGGAAGGACGCCAAGTCGAGGTGCTTGACGTCCAGGGTGCCCCTGACCCCCCGCATGCCGGCCACCGCCTTCGCAGCCCCCCGCCCCGCCTCCACGTCCCTGCACGCGATCACCACGCGGCCGCCGGCCATGGCCAGCGCCCGGGCGGTCTCCAGGCCGATGCCCGACGCGCCGCCCGTGATGATGGCCGTCCTGCCGGAAAAATTGGCGCCGTGGGCCTCCTCCATTGCGGTGCGGCCCCATCCGGACTTGTGCAGCATGTACGAGATGATGGCCCCCATGGTCCAAGGAGGTGCCGAGCGACGGCGGCGGTGGATTCGGTACAAAGATTCCTGCGGGCCCGCGCCCGCGTGCCTGCTCGGCTCTTGCGCCCGAAAGGGCCGGATTGCGGGAGCGACTGGGGGCGGCCGCCTTGCCACGCCGCCAGGAGCGGGTGCTCGCTCCGGCAGCGCTCACCGGCCCTTCTCCGCCCGTTGCCCGCGGATGGGGCCCTGCGGGGCGCTGCGCCGCCGGCGAATATGGCGCGCTGTTCCTTCTTGCTGCCCGTGCGATGCCGGTTCGGTGCCGCGGGGGCGCGGCCCCTGTGCGAATTTGCCCTGACCGGCCAGGCCACAACCCGTCCCGTACTGCGGCGGCAGCAGACGTTGACCTGTGTCGGGGTTCGCGCTGTGTGAAGCGCCAAAGTAAGGCTGACGAGGCGTGCGTGGGACGTGGGAACGTACTAATTCGCTGACGTCATCCTGCTGGTTGGCGCCCAGAAGCCACGTGGCGGGGTGGTGGGCAGCGGTGATGTGACACACAGTGATGACGCATGGACTGGATGGATGGCTTGACAGTAAACGGCCATTGCTGTTCAGGATCTGTCTGTAACTCCATTGCCTTCAGCTCCAGACCGCCTCCACCAGAACCGCTTCCCTGGAGGCGAACCAGACAGCGACCTATCGGCAGCAGGTCGATGACAATTGGAGAGTGACATTTAGCAGAAACCTCGTGGTCGTATTGTGGCCAAGAAACCGCCGCGCAAGAAGGTGCCGGAGTCTGTTGCACCACGCGGCTGAGGTCAGTGCCCCTGCCCAAGCGGGGAAAGTTGTCCTTGTCTAGATGGGTAGTGCAAAGATCGTGGCCTCACCATGGCCAGACCTCTCTAGAGGGGGCAGAGTGAAAGATCGACTTGAATTCAGTGGGTGAATAACTGGGCGGGATCACGTGGCAGTTGTCCCCTTGTTGGCGTACGTCCGGACCCTGACGGCCCCTGTGGATTCCTTGTGGTCTCTTTGGCAAGTTGCACAAGGGCAACCCCTCCGGTCTGTTTGCAAACTGTCGATTGAGGCCATGTCGGCGTAGAATCCTGGCCCTCATAGAGCACCAGCTTGGTAGTATTCGTGTAATACTTCATTTGGCATGGCAGCCATCCATTTATTTGGATTGGCCTCATTTACTGGTGCCCCAACAGCAGGGAGAGGGGGCAGGGCGTGGGGTGCATTGAGAATGCAGACCAGTGCATCGGCACCATGCATGACATCGCTGAGCGGGTGCTAGGCAAGGATTTTTCACACTTTGACAATGAAATCAATGTCAAACACATCAGAGAAACACATGGCATGGGCAGTACACTTACGTTTGCTGGGCCAGCTGGGCCCGCCACTTGCATCACCTGATGCGGCGCCCCCCCCCCCCCTTTGGCCCCCAGGTATTTGTTCCAGAAATAGGAGACATGAGGGATGCGCCTGTCCCAACGGACAAACCCCCAATTGAGTTGGGCAACACCTGATGGACCCAACTGCAGCGCTCGGATGACCGCAAATGCCTGGCATTTGTGCACGTTTGATACTCATCTGGATGTTTGCACGCCACACCTGATGACCTCACAGCCTGGGCTGAACAGTATATGTCAACAGAAGAATTGCAGCAACGAGGGTAAACGCACCACGCAAATGGTAGAGTTTTGCCACTAAGTGCAGAGAAGAGCTTCAAATGCACGTAGACAGCTGCAAAGATGTTCAAATTTTCAAGATGCAAATTTTTAAAGAAAATGGTGGAATAAAGATAGACAATGCTGCCCATTCCCGATCAAGGGAGAAATGTTTGCGTGGGGGAAGATGGCAAGTGTAGACAACGATGACAGAAGCGTTTACACAACTAGATGGACTGGAGCTGTTGTGTGTAATTGTGTTCCCCTGCTGAAAGCAGCTTTGGTACTTGGGGTTCGGTTTGACCTGGTGAATACACACACGTTGACAAATTGCTGCTACTTTCTGGCTATTCTTTTAGTGAGCCAGCTCTTGTCCAGCTCCCACATTGTGTGGTTGAAGCAACATGTGGTCCCATGGGATTGGAGTCTCACAGCGACTGCGCCGCAACTGGGCAGCCACACCACTTCTTCAAGCAGTGCCATGCAGCCAAGTACGGCTGCATACTGTGCTGTTGTGGACGTGTGCGTTGTCGGTGCGGAATTCATTGCTGTTGCCGTTGCTGGCAGCTAGACTGCATGGAGTTATTGGCATCATGCACTGCATGCAGATCACATTAGACTCCCATCTCGTCACAGAGTGGTGAGCATCTCTGCTGCAGCGTCCCTACAATCATCACCACACGATCTATGCCTTCTGTGTCCTTCCATCGTGCCGTGCTACTAGGAGGTGGCAGCAGACAATAGCGCTGTAGGCACGTCCCTTCATGGGATGCTCGTGTGTGCCCGACCATTCCATGCGACACAAAGTGCGGATCGCAAAACCTGCAGTCCAAAATAGGCGTTTGACACATTGTGCAAAACTCTATTCGAGAAAGGCTTGAGTGGAGGTAATTTGCACACAAAACATAAACAGCGCAATGGCTCGGTATGGAATCCCTCATTCTTGAAAGATGTCGACCACCTCCAATTCGAAAGTCAGATTTCTTCCTGCCATCATGTTGTTCGCATCCAGCTTGATTTCCCCTTCCGTCATTTCTACCACCATCGCCATGCCACCATTGGCGAGCTCCACAACCATGCCTTCCTTCAGTCCACCGTGACTGCAAGCCAAAAAAGAAGGGAGCGAACCAGCGACAAGTTAAGAGCGGAAAGGTAGTTCCCATGTGAAATGCTTACGAGAATGCGCGCCTGTGGCACTTACCATGCCGCCTGAAACCCCTTTCGAACAACTGTTCACGGAGAGACTGGTCACTGAGCGACGCCACCTTGGCCAGCCAACTTGAGACTTGTCAAACCGCAGCTGACCAAACCTATACTTAGGAGTGCGTTGTGTGCTACACACTGGGGCAACCAACTGGCAAGGTGTACAAAATTCGGCCATGTGCACTCATCCACATATTATCAATTATCACTCTAATAGCTCACAAAACTTGCGACCTTCCCACACATTCCATTTGCATGCCACATGTGTGAACAGTGCTTGAGTTCCGAGTGCTGCAGAGGCCACTGTACCGCCACTAGGTCAGAGTCATTGTTGTGCAGTGGTCTTGGGGTCGTTCTACAGGATGGGGATGGGGGGGGGGGGGGCGCATCTAGCATCTGGACATGAGTGGTGAACAAAGGACATCAGCAGCGATGCACGACGTCACCGTGTGTGTGTAAGCGCTGTGCAGAGGGCAGTGTTACATTTGTATTGGTTAACCATTAATTAGATACTATTCATTGACTCTTTGTTGTGTAATGATATTGCCTCCCTCTGGTCCATCATAAGCAAAGAAACGCCGGTAGTCCATGGCAAGTCATCTATTGACATGAGAAGGTGGAGATATAAGTGGCGCTGGGAGGAGAGGTGGGGAGGGGATTTGAAGCTCAATCATTCTGATACATGCACCACTATGTTCTGCGTGGAACAAAAGTTCTTGTCATGGACATGGGTAATTCTTGAAGGTTGTCAATTCCAACTCTTTAGCTGCTGTTTGTCTCCATTGGAGACAGATGGCAAACGAATTCAGTAAATGGATGAACGACAGGCAGCGCATATGGACACACACGCGCCCTCCATCGCCTATAAGGCGATAGGGCCACACATTGTCTTCCACAAGACAAATTGTAAATGAAAAAGCAGGGAGGTTCGATGCATAGATGTGCTGTAATGCAAGTCTGCGGAGCGCACCCAGATGGCACATTCCCAGTGTGTTGTTCCCACTCACTTTTTGTATCGGCCCTCCAGCCGCAGAATCTCTTGATGTTCCCTAGGGACAGTGAACAACAGATCTTTCTTCCACTCCCCGCCTTGTGCCTGCCCAACAATGTCAATTCACTACTAAACGCTGCATAGCGACAATGCCATTCTCGCATAGGACATTTCATTTTGCTGTCATACCAATTGAGAAAAAAATATTAGACAAATTTGGGCACATCGGTTTGTGTGTGCCAGAACTGACTCTTGCTGGCCAGGAAGACTTTAGCAGAAACATGTGATTCTGTCAAGGACAGGGTATTATTGCATGCACTTGTGGAAGCTTGCTATGCTGCTCCTGACACCTCTTGCTGCTTTCTGTCAGACTTCAGTCTGTGCTGGGTTGTTGGCAGTTAGCGCAAGACATTGGCAGGCCACACACTTGCATGCTAGCCATTTTTTCTTGCACAAGGGACTGTGCTCTGGCCATAGTTGCGACAAGCAGGGGCAAGTGCAAACATCATTGTGTTCCCCAGATGAGAAAAGGTCCCTCACCTCCAAAACAACCATTTCGCCTTTGCCCACACCTCTGACAGCGCCATCAAAACCCTGAAAGAATACCAGAGGATTCTCACAATCCCTTGAAAAGTGGCACAAAAAATGTGCACGCAGGAGCCACAGCAGACACTG